AAATTATGTGGATGCCACCTGTACAAATTAAAAATTTTACTTTTTAATTCATCAATTAAATGAATTTAAATAGGATTAATTTTAATTTTTTAATTGTTTTGTCTTCTTCTTTGTTAACATTGATAAATTTCTAGGCCTAAAGCAATGTGGGAAGAGTTGCAGATTACGCTGAACTTCTTTCTCCTCATCCTTGGCATCATACTCATCCTCATTAGCTACTAGGCTCTTTGCAGGTTGGCGAACCTAGTTTGGGTTCTTCACGGCATCCTGTTGTTGGGTTCACAGAACCCCGTTGCTGGGTTAGTGGAACCCAGATCTGGATTCCGCGATGCTTGGTTCGCGGAACCCAGATCTGGGTTCCGCGAAGAACCCAGTTTCTGGGTTCCGCGAAGAACCCAGTTTCTGGGTTCGCGGAACCCAGATCTGGGTTCCGCGAGGAACCCAGTTGTTGGGTTCGTAGAACCCAGTTTCTAGGTTCCTTGCTTGCTGGGTTCATAACTTTGCCTTGCATTTTAATGCAATTTGAACTTGAACTGAAATTCAAAGATCTAGGTCACTAGAAATATTTGTTCTAGAATCAACCAATACAGAATTCTGTGGACCATAACTTCAATTTCATGTAGGAGAAACAATGGGTTTGTTGAGTAATTAGTATTCTTGAGAATCTGAATTTCTTGACCACCTGATATCCTTCTTGAAAATCTCTATGTTTCCATTGCTGAACTGAAGTTCGTGTCTGGAATTCTAGGATTTGATCTTGTGTAATGCATGCTATCTTCAAATTTCCAGATAGTCTACCTCATTTCTTGTTGATCTGTTGTTTTTGCTTACTTACCCCACTGGCGATCAACAAGGAGGAATATCTCCGGCTAACCCAAGGTTAGTTATGTAAATCTGGAACTTGCATCGACTTCGTTTGTTTGTAGCTAAATACCTTTGAGTTTTGATTATACCCCTGCCATGCAATTCCTTTTTTATTGTAAGAGTTTGTCCATGAAATTATTTTTCACAAATGAGGACAAATCGGCTTCTGTTGGATCCCTTGTCTGCAATTCCGGCATCTAAATTTCTTACTCTCAATTTCGGTTTCTCTGCAAAATTTGGTAGTAAAAGTCAACAACCTAACGAATTATGAAGCAATTTTTAAATCATCAAACCTAATCATTTAATCAGGGAATTGGGATGATAATGTTATCTGAAATGAGGGTTGTTATGTTCTGTTGTTTTTTAATTTTCATCCGTTTGTCTCCTCTCTTCGGTCAAAGATCCACACCGTCTTGTTCTGCCAATTGGATCTATCTCTACTAGGAAAGCCCCAGAGATTGCATGGACATCGCAAACCCAAGACTTGGGTTTGTCACAAACCCAGGCTCTTGGGTTCGCCTGGAGGTAAACGAAAAAAAAAGCAAAAAAAAAAGGCTGGAGGAAGGAGAAGCGGGGAAGAAGATGAGGGTATATAAGTAATTAAAGGTAAAAAATTTAACATGTAATCAATTTTTGCCACGTGGATTTTCCACGTAATTTAGTAAAAAAAA